GATCTTATTTCGCACAATTAAGTTCGGCTCATGCAAATTTCGACTTTTGACCTTTGGCTTAGAAGGTATGCTTAGGAAGCTATTCGTGTGCCGACTTTGCAGCAGGGCCAAGCGTATAATAAGTGTGTATAGTTTTTAAGAAGTTTTCCCTGTCATCATTTGGGAAAACAAAACCTTCATGAAATACATCAGATTCCAGCCTACTTTCTAGGCTATCCGCTCTTCATCACGTTTTTTAGCATAAGTATACAATTTATAAATAAACGATTTTTTTTACATTTGCTGACGAGAAGATACAATCGCAAGCAAATGTGATTTGCCTTATTACCAACGAAGAGTTTGTTAAGTGTAGGCGTTTTCAGGGCTCTGCCTCGGGGCTAGGTCGATATGCGTATATTTTCAAAGGCTTTATTCAACGTGGTTCGTCCATCAATCACATATTTCCTTCGTAATCGTTTACACGTTCACACGAATATAGGTTCGCAAAAATACACGATTCGCTGTAGAATCAAAAACTTATGGTCATCAAAATGTCAATAAACTTCTAACAAACTCAAAAACTTAACTTACACATTTTTATGGCTGTCCCGAGGGGATTCTAGGACAGTTTCGAACTCCTTCCGTTATAACAGTCAACTCCTCTCTCTCAACTCCTCACTTCCACTCGCCCCCGGGCCCTACGAAACAGCACTTCCCCAGGAAGCCCGCGGCCAAATATTATACGTCGCAACATTAAGGAAATGCTTTATTTCTTTTTTTCTAAGCAGTTTTCACAGATTACCTCACTCCATAAAAGGGAGTGTGCATTGTTTGGTTTCGAAAAGCCTGTTAATTTGTTGTTTTTTTGTGTGTGTAAACTGGGTATCTTCTCAAACGAAGTTAGTCTCGTTTTTGAGGCCCGTGCTAATTTTTAAGCGGGGAAAAGTTATCTCTTTTAATAACTTGAACTAAGCAATTTCTTTCAATGATGTGACGCGACAAAGAATTGGCTGTTGCACATAGTTTCATAGAAAAAATATATAGATAATCAATTAACTTTGAATGCATTTTCTTACTTTTAAAACACTCTCTTTCTCAACTTTATTACTTCGTTGGCACATTCAGATTCCAATAGTTATAATTTAAACTAGTGAATTCTCACTTTCTTAATATTATTGTCTTATACGCACTATGTGTATTTTAGCCTTTAGTTTCGTTGTTACTGACAACTTCTTCAGTTCAAATTCCCTTTTTAAGAATAAACACTAGGTCTCAATATTTACGTCACTGATAAGTATGACTAGTTAACATAATTTTAGGCACTACCTAAAAGCGGAGCTCTAGAGGCACACTGAGCCCAATTTAGAGAAAACTGAAAAGTGAAAATAAAATTGGGAAAGAAATCCTCAATAGAAAAAAAAAAAAATGAAGATAAATTTAAGAGTAAGTCTCCAATAATGAAAATGTACATCGCTTTGATCGCGCAAGCTTATTTTCAACCTTAATTATTTATACTCTCTCGCTTAGGAATTTTCTCACATGTACGCTCCCACCACCAGCCACCCCAGTTTTGTTTTCTGAAATAAAAATCATTCGACAAAATTTTCAAAAGACAAGAAAGACAAGGCCTTACAAGAACGTATCAACAACTAAACCATCAACAACACAAACATACGCCCATTTGTATAATCATACTAGCTGGAAAAGCTAAATAGATGGCTATATTTGGTGTAATATGTATTCCTTATTATATTTCATTGAATATTTGAATAAATTATTGACTTTGTACAATATTTTATGTCTCTGATACAATAGAAGATAAATAAGACCAAGTGAGTTTTACTTCTCATTTGATATCTTGCATCTCATTTTAACAAATCGCACATAGATTTCCATTGTCTGTCCTCTTATTGATCATAGATGACGTCTTAAAATGTTCAAAACTAAAGTGGAACCACGAGCGCAGCGAGAATTGCGAAATGTTTACAAAATAAAATAAGCGAAAAGTTTTTCGAAAATTTGTCATTCAAGGAAAGCAAGGCGATAGACCAAACAGCTCCGATTATGGTGAGCTTTTCAATATTTTCGCTAAGATAGTTAGTTTTCATGATCATTAGAGTACAGAAAGTAAGACGAAGGTTTTTCGGTTATTTACTTTTGAAAACTTCAAAGGTTATTTTATAACTTACAAAAGTTTTTTTCATAAAACACGTCAACATTTCACAACCAAACTTCCTACACTGTGATTGGCTAATTTTGACTGTTCTTTGACAGCCACTGTGAAAGAATGCTTGCTATTGGTCAAAACTTTTGACATTTACTTATAAATGGCTTTTTTAG